TGGATGGCATGTTTAAGAAGAAAAGGGTCATCCCTATCAGTGGCCTGTCCTCCTAAGTCCTATCCTCTTTTAACATCAACTTTTCTGGGTTGAGCCAGATGAATAAACAGGCTTTGACTTATAATCCTTTGCAAATTAGAATGATTTTCCATTTACAGTTTTAATAAGCATTCCTATATTTTGAAGCAAGCTTAGTTAACAACTAGTCTTCCTGATTCATTGACCACAGACTTCATCACCACTACTGTGTTTTTATATGAAATATGTATATATTATAGTATACATAATTTCATTCACATTATTATTGTGCCATTCATTGTTCAGCTTACTTATGTAAAGATAAGACTTACCTCTCTCCCATCATCTCAGTTTGCCCTACCAAACCTAGCAGGGAAGGTGTGCTTCAGATCCCTTCCATTAAACAATGTCATCTTGTTGGATCCTAGAGGCATGCCTTCTCTATGATGGCATCTGCCTTATTAAACAACATCCTTCCAGAAATTAGGATGGCCCAGACTCTGTTAACCTTTTGTAAGGCATTATGAACCTGGCTGTTCCGCTAGCCATGTGGCCATGTAGTTAGGTGAGCTCTGCTAGTTAATATGATATATTATTCTTGAGTTGGATTGTGTTAATGGCCTTGGGTGTTTGGTTTTGCTAATTATTTTGTGGTGGTTTAAACACTTTTAGGAGATGGGTGGCCTTACAAATTGTAAAAATGGATGGATGGATAAAGGAGTTATAAATGCATTTTTCAAAATATATGATGTAGACAATTGGTTAATTGTCATATGTCATAAGCCAATCAAGTAATGTGTTACAGTATTATTTACATCTTCCTACTAAGAAAAATATGCTGCTTAAGAAAACACAAGGGATCAGTTGAACAATCTTCATGGTTCTTTTCTCCAAATATTGTCTTGGGATCAGCGCAGATAAAACATCTGCTTCCTCTAACTATAGCTAGTCAGTTGTGCCATTCCTTTGCCCAATCCATCTTTTTTGCTAGAGATGTTTGGCCTTTTTATGCTGTTCTTAACCATGGTAAATACCATTGTTGGCTAAGTTAATGCTATTGACTGACAGTGCTTTTTGATCTTTAATTATAAGAAATGAACCAGGTTCTGGACTTGGGGTTAGATAGATGCCTTCTTACTATTATAGGTTTGTATCATGAGATGGGGGGCAGGGGAAGAGAAAGTAGGCAAGGGATATATAAAAATGAAACACAAACTGAAACACACACTGAAACACAGTCTCCAAGTCTTGTGTACTTACATGCAAAGTCACAATGCTAGTACAAAAGGCAGAGCATGAATTGTGAAATTATGATGCATGTTTCATCATTTTGGCATAATTGTATTAAGAACAAATGCTTGTGCCTGTCATCCCTTAGTTTCTTATGTTCAAATTCCCTTATCTTTTAAGCAAAAATTTATTTTGTTTTTTAAAAAAAAACATTGGAAGATTTCACTGATGTTACTTTACAGGGTTGGGGGATAGGAAGAGTGTATAAAAATAAAAAAAGGTGGTTGATCTATGTTGCTAACACAAATGTGAAAATTGTGTGTGTGCGCGCATGCATGTATATCAACTTCCATGAAGTATGGAGAACCTGATGAATATGAAAAGACAAGCTTCATGCATATGGCAATCCTGAGGCAGTTACTATGAAGCTACAGAAATACTTGAACAGTTTGTGCCTTTATTCAAAGAGTCTCATGAATTTTTGAAGACAGTGGCTTATGTGACCTACACAGATCCTGTTTGTATGATCAGTTCCATTTGCTCATTTCAGTCTTGCACATCTAGGCATTTATAGGTCAATGTAATAAAGAGAGAAAATTTAATAATATATGTGTTTTATCCAGATGAGTGGCTCACTTTGCGTTTCTATTTCTCATGTGAACTGCACTTTGACTTTTAATGTGCAGTTACATTACTTGGCACTGAATTTAATGTATTATGTAGCCTCATTCTTTCACCTTCCCCCAACCCAGCGCCAAAAAGAAAAATATTCCATATAAAGTATAACTAACCCAGTATGCTTTGTGCCTTTTCATTAAATGCTTATTAGGAGAGAATGTGATGTTTGAAGAGAATTGTTATTAACTTCTAACAAAGCTAGTATTTGTAGGAATGTTCAGAATTTAATTACATGAGATTTTCAGTAGTAGATTTTATTGGAAGTGAGCTATCTCACTAACTTTCCTGAACACTGACCATTCTCTCAAAAAAGATTGTCAATTTGTTCTTCATTCTTCCTGTATTGTTGAAGGAAGGTTTTTGTTTGTTTCAGATTAATCTCAGTGGACCTTTCTTATGCTCCTGTATAGCTTCTGCTCAAGATATTCTTCATTGGCATCTCTTTTCATGCATACATTTACTGTCTTCATTAAAAGGAGCAGGAACACCATCTTGAGTGAAACCTTTGTATCTATGTATGAGATCCATGTATGACAGTCTAGATTTGAGATGTAATTTATACTCAGCCCCATCCAGAAGCAAAAACTGTAAACACTTGTATATTGCTTTATCTGTTTGTTAACTTTAAAATGCTTTTAAAAAATAATAACCTGGAAGCAGTGGGCCTTGGAAGCAGCAATACCGGCAGAATGAAACAAAATGAGCAATAAAATTAGAACATACTGAAAAATTTAATCTGCAGTTTAAAAAAATTACAAGAATTAAATTAATTATTAATTACATTCTATGAGAGAGAGAGTCAGTGTGGTGTAATGATTAAGGTGCTGGACTCATGGGGGAAACCCAGATTCTAGTCCTCCCTTAGGCATGGAAACCAGCTGGGTGACCTTGGGCCAGTCACTTTCTCTCAGTCCAAATCAGTATCAGGGTCTGTGACATGCTGGCTGAAAAATAAAGATCCAAGTTGCATCATGTATTGATAGCTTCTCTGTGAGAACAGCGAGTGCAACATGAAACAAGAGGACCCTGCTACTAAGTAGGACAAATGCTAGAAACAACAATTAAATCCTAGGACAGAATCATCTGGTTGCACCTAACACTTATAGAAGAACTAAGGTTTGGTATTCAGTGAAAAGAAAGCAAAGATAAAGATAAAGATAAGGTGGGAGTCCTTAGGAAAGTCCTTCATCCTGCCAGTGATAGACATTATGCAAATCTACACATTTCTAATCTGAGTTAATACCTCAAAGTCTTGCTTGAAGAATATCTGCATATTTTATTCTTCCAAGTAATTGCAAGTATACATGCATTCACCTCTTAACTGTTGCAAAGTTTCCTGAAATTTCTGTGACAGCTACAATACCAGTGACATCCGACAGCAGCAGGATGGATTGATTTGCAGTAAATTCTCTGGACAAGCTGCTATACTCACATCATTAAAATGGGATAATATTGTGGTTATTGTGAAAATAGGGTCTATCAAGAAGTGTGTATTTGTGCATTCTAGTCTTTATGTTGTGGGAGCAAATTCTAAGTAGCATTATTATGTTCTGTACCTTGGGTAGAGACCTAACTTTGTTAGTCTAGTGGGCATGTGTCAGCATAACTGGGTGAACACATTGCATATAGGATCACATTCTCTCCTTGAGGATATGCAGATGGTATTTGGGATCTTGACATCCTTTGATGAGCACAAAAAGAGAAACTTTTTTCTCTCGGTCAGAGTTGCAACGGGTATAGTCTACTTTCAAATACCTGGTGATTCCTTCCTATTCTGCCTTGTTCTAGGTTTGTTAGCTGTGCCCTTTGCACTAGCTATTGAGAGCAATTGGAAAAGTATGAGCTTGTACATTATTAATACTAAAACATTCTAATTCATCATTTCATGAGAATGTGGCCACTGAATTGATGTTTACCAGAGACTAGTCACCATCAATACATATTTGAAAGTAGAAATCTTTTTGTTCCAGAATATCCTCTCATGAACACTGTTGCAGTCATCCATTCTCCCACTGACATACACACATGCACGCGCGCACACACCCCTCCGAGAAATCATGAAAGTGAAGTTTTGAAAGTGACACATGTTATTTCTCCTGTTACTTTCACCCAGTGTCTTCAACACAGATTATCGTATTAAGGCTATGTGCAAATTATTTGTAAATGTGCAAATTAGGTTGTTTAATATATGCATAAACTTGGCTGAGCTACTTTGCCGTAATGGGAAATTTAGATTAAGCTGTTAAAGGTATACTAGCAGAACTGCTCTCAGAGCTGTTTTTGATTCAGAGAAATGAGTGGATTATTTTGAACTAATATAGTGCTTGTTCTTATTTCTCCTTTTTCTGATTGAACTACTGCCATTATAGTATTTTGTTCACCCAATGTCTTTCCAGTCAAGTGCTTGTAGGTATCCACATGCATTATTGTGTGATAAATTGTTGAACATCTGTTCAGTCTGAAAACTAACTCAGTCCTGTCTTTTGAAATTATGTTGGCTTGAGAACTGAAAGTGGGAAAAGACATTCACATTCATATGTGGAGGCCTACTTGGGGGTAAGGTGCAGAATATAATATCACTTTTTCTTGAAATCACTTTTTCTTGAAACTGTTACTGTGAATCCACTTTATGGTCTAGGCATCATATATAGCATAAACCTAGTAACCACTTAATAGTACTAGTTGATTATATGTTCTCCATACTCTGTTACTATGCTTCAAGTTGTAACAAAGATTGATCTTCACCATGCTGTTTACTAAAAGTAGATAAACATTCAATGGAATAGCACATATGCAAATTAATTCATAGCAGATAATTCATATGGCTGCTAAATACATACAATTTAACAGTGACTAGTGGTTGACAAGCCCCAGTGATAGCAGAATCCTTTAAGCAAGAGAAAAACAGTTAATATAGGTAAAATGCACATTAAGGTAAGTAAAATAGTTTGCACTTAAGTTGTATATTTTTTAGATCTTCCATTTTTCACTCTTGTTAGATCATTGTTAAAAATTAAAAAGAATAGCCTTGCTTTTTCTACTTCTAAAATTGAATCATTTTTATTTTTTTTCAGGAGAGAAGCCATTTAAATGTGATGAATGTAACTTTGCCTCTACAACCCAGTCTCATCTGACCCGACACAAACGTGTACATACTGGGGAAAAACCCTACAGATGTCCTTGGTGTGACTACAGGTATTGAGATTGATAGTGACAATATAGAATTGGCAGAAGATCTGATTAGTCAGTGAGTTTCATATAAACTGACAAATAATGTATATCCTAATAACATCCTCATAGGTGCAGAATTTAACGAAATTAAGAAAGGACTCGATCCAGTTGTGTGTGTGGGAGCCTTGTTTTGAAGACTTTTATATGAATCACAGAGGTGCTAATGCTGTTTATTTCGCAGATGCTGTGAAGTCTGCTAGAATTCTCTGTGGAGGGACTGTTGATCTGCATTGCCTTTTCAGATCAGCTGCAGTTTTGGAAAAAAAATGGTTGAGTTGCAGCCATGACACTAAAAAAGAAAGTCCCCAAAGAATTAAACAGGCCCATTGTCCATTAAATATTTTAAACTGAAGCACCTGCCTGTCACTTTAGCAATACTGATTTGGTTTATTTGCTATAGTGTTGTTGTCCCCAGCATCTCGTCCTCCCCATGGTACCATGGAAAATATTCTGCATGATTCATAGCCAGGAATTGATATCCTTGTCTTAATTAGGAGAGGGGTTCAGTGGCTGCAGTTTTGCTATTTTTCAGATTGATGTTGAAACACAGCTTGTCCTTTATAGATGTTAGAGGTTACTTCTTGCATGAGTGGAAATGTTAATCCCAAAATGTTCTTGCTAATCTTGTCTTGATGTTTATGCTGTTTTAAATCTACCTGGGAGTATTGGCTGGGATGGAGATAGAGAGAAAGGTGACAAGGGAAGATCTTTTTCAAAGATTTGGCTTCATGTCCCTGTTATCCCATGTTCAGTTCAACAGTAAACTATGTGATTTCTGAGAGCTAATTCTCTTTCACTTTACAGTCCTTGTTACTGGGAATAAAAACAAATGTGGAGCCTTAGAAATGAACTTGCTTTAAATAAAAGTCGAATTCAGTTCTTAGGAACATATTTTGCACAGTATAATGAAATTTTAACGACTGTAATTTTTCACAAGAAGTAGAACACTGACTTATTTTAAGTCACTGATACACCTTTAATAAAGTGCTACTAATGCTACAGAGGCGGCATTATGTAAGTTGCCATCTGCTTGGTGATTTGTTTTGCTTTGTTTGTACTATTTTGTAAAATAGCCAAAGCAAAATAGAAGAATCAAAGTGGGTTTTTTATAGATAAGAAATTTAAAAACCCAGATCTGCAAATTGCATTAATTTTACAAATGTACCTTTCTAAAAATATGTCATATGTGAAGGATATCCTACAAGATAAATAGCATGCATTTTTAATATACTTATGTGCATTAAAATAAAACATTTTACATTTACCATGTATTATAAACTAATTAAACAATACGTGGTATGGGATTATAACCTCTGATATCAAATGCAGAAGGATTCATTGTGTAGATTCAGCAACACTGGCCTTTTGAGTGAGAGAGGGATTCCACTGAGACTAGTTTTCTCACATTGGATAGTTTCCCTGGAGGATCCATAATTCCTGTTTATTTTGTATGTACTCATACCTTTTAAGTAAAAACCTATATTGTAATATGTTCTGTGCATGCCAAAGTAGTTAGAACAAAACCGAAATGAAGGTGCTCTTTTTATATTAAATCAATTTCAGATAATTTGATATGTCAGCAAATGTACTTCTTCCTGTTGTTTCTTAGTTTAGCAGAGGACATGTTGAGTTTACCTTAGCCTTTATCAAAAGAACACATAAAATATGTACTTGTGTTAACAAGGAAGGCCATTATATCAAATGGCACCATGGTGTGCATTGCTAATCTTTATCTTCCAATTCTTTACACATGATGTGCAGGTAATAACAACCTTTCTTATTTACAAACAGTCTTAAATTTATTCATTTCCAGGCAGTGATGCATGAATGCTTAATGGTCATATAAAATATGACTAGGTTAGAAATACCGTCAGTAAAGTAGCTTTTAGAACAAAAATATGAAGAACAAATCTTTCACCTTAAACTTGTTCTCATATTGCTTAAAACTAATTCCATTTGGATCAATGATTGATATTTACAGTGTTTTAAATATCAGCAAGGTAACTATAAGATGCATATGAAATACTTGTTAGTGTGTGTGCATAAATGGATTTTTCACTCACCTGTTCTGGTGGTAGCACTTATGGATACTTCTTTAATAAGGCTTCAGAAATTTCTGAAATGGTCTTCCATGTTACATAAATAGATGGTACTAAAAGAGAAGGCATGTGGCACCTGATGTACAGACTTCCATGTCAATCATGGGGGAAGGGGGTTAATGGAATACCCTTATTGATGTGATCATGAGTGGTGGGTATAACAAACAGTTTCTGGTTATCTTACCAGTTTTTCTTTTGATTTGTTGCTACTGATTATTGAATGCCAGATTGGTCTGTAACAATTCTAGGTGAGCAGGCCAAACTTGGTATGTGTAACTGAGAGCTAAATAGGGAAGAGTTAATCTTTCCAGTTTTCTTTTTCTGGGTACTGTTGCAGAGCCAATGTACTTCTTATATATGTTCCATCTCCATTTTTGCTAAAGTAAAATTTAGAAGAGAAATCAAGCTTCATTCTTCTTCTATTTGTCTATTACTAAAAATATATCAGAGACCCAAGTGTAGTAATCTATAATCATTCTTTTTAAAAAAAATAGTAATCTCTTTAGCACAACTTTACATATGGTCTAACATATAAATAATTGTTGCATCTTATTTATACTTGCTCTCTACAATTTCCAGGCTTCTATTAGAGTTGCTATTTCAAATGCTGGCCTTTATATGATGTGCTTTATAAATTGCAGCCAGTTCTTCTGTTAGTACTTAAAGAAGCAATCACAGATTTCAAAGGCCCTGACAAGCAGAATTGTCAACACAACATTTAATTGGGAGAAGAAGAACAAGCTACTTGCATTGCTTGTGCAGCATACTATCTAGAAAAATCACATTGGGGTAGCATTAAAAAATGTTCTGCTTCTTATTATGCCTTCTTTTCTTGGCCAGAGGCAAGTATCAATATGGTAACTACCTTGTAAAGAAATGTGTGCTTATTTGAAACCATGATTATCTCTTAAAAAGCATGCCCAATCCTGAAAACAGAGTTTTTTCAGTAAAGTATTTTGTATTTCAGAAAACAGCTCCAAATCAAGCACAATGCTTCTCATTTCTTTTCTTTCTTTTTTTTATGAGTTAAAAATACTAGATATTAACTCTGTCAAATCACACATCAAGGATAGGATGGACAAATACGTTAATTTTTTAAAAAATCATGTACCTTAATAATCTTTATATTTAACAATGGCAAAAAAAAAAAAAAGAATCCTCTAGAGGCTTTCTGGCATTCTATGTAGGAACTGTATTTTTTGTTGAGTGCCTTTCAGAAAAATAAAACAGATGTTACAGAAGTTCTAAGATGGATTCTGTATATTATACTCCATATCGTTCTATTACCGTATTGTATATTCTACATTGTACTAGCATATTATAACTCTATACTCAATTAATCTGTGAAGAAGACAGTTTTGATCCACTGCTTTTTGCTTTCTGAACCATTTCTATTATTTCATTTTTACTCTTATATTTCCAGGAATGCTACCCAACAAATCTGATCACTATATTTAAAGTAGGAGCATAAGATTAAACTAGACTGGTCATCTAGTTTAATATTATGCTTCTATTTTAAATATAGCAGAGCATTCAGGCTTATGCCACAGTACCAGAAACATCATTCACTGTTTTGCAAGTTAAAGAAATGCAGAAGTGTACTTGCTTGCTGCTACTTTTTATTGATAAGGTGGTTGTATTTGTCCCATACTCTTTTGGAGGCTGCACAAGGTCCAGTTGCAGAATAGGGACTTTTGTTAATGGCAGCTACTTGCCCCCCTCCCCGACCATCACCACCAAAGTGGGTGGTGTGGATGTCGCAGTGATGAAGTAGGAAGACTTTAGTACATGATTCAACTTTCTGCTCTTTTATACCATTTAGCATTTGATTGGATAGCTGAATTCATGTTTTCTCAGTTTATGAGTATGAAAATATCTGTCTTGAACAAATTTGGAGTGGCGTTTTTACTGTTCCACAAGAAAAAAAGGAGACTTGATTCCTGTAAACAAATACTGCAAGCCAGTATCATTGTCAATATTTTTTTCTTGCGACTCTCCAAAGGCTGCTAGGTTAGTAATTCAAGTTTGCCAGTTTGCTTTTTGGATTCATTGTGAATAGGTCTTCAGAATAATTAGAAAATGTTTATCTTTTAACCCAGTTTGGTTTTTCCGTGTTTAAGATGTACAGTGTTATATATTTTATTAAATTTGAGTTAAATCTACTTTATGTTTTTCTGATATTGTCAGATCATTATATAGATGTTTAATGTTGAGTTTTAAAATATTCTAATATAAATTTGTTTTGTGATATAATTATAATTGTGATATAATTAAAAAGTAAATAAGCCCTGAGATCACCAAGTAATTAGGGTAACCATTTTGAAAATGAAATGACCTTACTATTTTCCACATAAGAATCAAAATAAACATGTTTATGGTTCTTTAATCTCTATTCCCATTATGGAAGGACCACAGTTATCTTTGGGGATGGTCATTCTACATGGAATATCTCTGGACAGTCCCTTGTGTAGTAGTTAGCTTTTATTCTATATACATGGTGGTAGAAATGCAAGCCTTGCTAAGAAAAACATAAACTATCTTTTGACAGTACTATTTTGGCAGTATTCCCCAAGCAGTTGAGCTATTATCATGTAATGAAGTTGTTGTGTGTGTTTTCTAACTCTGTGGAGATAATGTTGCAGCTTGCCTTTTGTTTTCTTTTCCTCCACTATCAAGGTTTCAGAAATAAAAAGATGGATATTACTGTTTCACACCTGCCTCCAAGTCTAAAGGGGACATAAAAATAGATAACTTTCAACCACTGTTGGGCTTCTTTAGACTTCTAGTAAAAATAATTGAGAGTTTATTATGTATAAGATGATAAAGGGGTTCCTGTGGGGTAATGGGCTGGGGATATGACAAGGG